AAAATTTACAAAATGAGCTAAAAAACCTAGTGTGCTTCTTATGGTGTATAAAAATATACAAATAAAATACTTCAGTAAAATCATTTTATCAAACATGTTTTAAAAATACAAATACTACCCCCATCTGATCACCAAAATGTGTAGGTTCCCCAGAACCATACACCCACATGTACACCCGGTAAGGGCCTTATACACATAGGATAAGGACATGCGGTAAGGACTTACCCTGAGAACAAAGCTAAGGAGCTTACGGTAAGGACTTACCCTGATCACAAAGCCGAGGAGTCTGAGGTAAGGACTTACCCTGAGCACAAAGTCGATGAGCATGCGGTAAGGACATACAAGTAATAGACTAGGCCTGAGATACTTCCTCCAATAATACCTCCAATGACAGTAATACACATGTATGTATTCTAGTGAAAACTTTAGTTTAATTCAGTAAAACATTAAAATATTACAGACTCAGAAATCATATACAAAAATACAAAAATCAGAGATCATGTCATAAATGTACAGTAAATTAGATATTAGATAAGCAATATTTAGAAAAATCAAGTATCGTGTCATAAAAATATTCAGTGTTATCAGAAATCTAAAACAGTTCAGATAAACAGTTTAAAATAGTAATGTAACACCACCAGGAAACACACATGTAACAATCTGAGTAGTCTGATAAGCGGGCCTACTACTGAGTCTGCCGATCACGATCAACGGCAGTGCTAGATCCTACGAATCATAAAAATTCATATCGAAATCCTAATAATAATAATAATCCATATTTAAATAATTTACATATACTTACGAGTAACTCTCGAGAAACGCGGATCGTCCAGATCTAATGGACGAGAAGTACCGGATCTAACCGACCCTCGGTCGGGTGAAACATGAGTACCTTCATAAAAATATATTCTCGAATCAATTCCATAATCAAATCTCAAATAAATAAGCAAAAATGCTAAAAAATACTAAGCATTTTCATATTAACGGGCTTGATTAAGGGGTTTCGGGTCAGAATTTGGCAAAACAGATCGTGGAATCGGACTCAGGACGTCGAAAAACGTAAATATGGAGGTTTTCGAAAATAGTCAACGGTTGATCGGGTCGGGTCATGTCAGGTCAGATCGGATCGGATCGGATCGTGTTGATCATGGGTCAGGTCGGGTCGGCCCATTATTAAGCAGTCCACCAGGTGGTGGAACTTCCCCACGCGTAGGGGCGGCATGTGCATAGCCTTCGGGGGTCGAAAAAATTATGAAAAAATTCCTACGTACTTTTTAAGAGGTTTTGAGACACTTACCAAGCTCGGTTCACAACGGTGAATGGCGGAGAGCTTGATTTCGAAACGTCAGAAACTTGGCCTTTCTCACCCCTCACACACCTGCGGTAATTGAGACAAAGTGGACACCGATAGTGTGGGAGGTGTCGAAAACGGAACAACGTTCGACGACGAAACAAAGATTGAAGTTTCTTTGCTATAAGAGGAAAGCTTGAAGAGAGAGAAAATGAGATTTTCAAATGAGGAAGTTTTTTAGATTTGGGGTTATATAGCCCCTAAAAATGGTAAAATTATACTCTAGGTCCTCTATTTTTTATACTTTCTAAATTTGGATTTGAATTTAATTAAAATTTTACTTTAGCCCCCGAATTTAGTTAAAATTTCAACTTAGTCCTCAAAAGAATTTTAAGAAAATTTTTAGGCCCCTAAGTTATGGTGTGGCATATAATAATTTATAGTTGTAATCAATTTGATATATTTTTAATTAAATATAAGACTTATTTGTGTGTTTATTTTTAAAGCGTTCCAATTCAACTTCTGCCCTCGTAAGCTTTGAACTTTTGAATTTAGTCACTACATTTGTTTGATTACATACTAAAATGTGATCGATAAAATTGATATTTTCGTAAAAGTTAAATACTTGTTATTAAAGAAACTAAATTTCGAAAGTCTTAAAAACTATTGTAAAATAGTTCTTAGGGTTTTCAGATGTATTCGTTGTTATCCTTTAGGAAGAGGTGTGTCCCTACAACCGTTGATTTTTAGTGATAAAGTCGTAAGTGGTGATGATGAATGACTGGAATTGTTATGGCGAATATGATCTGCATTGTTTGAATGCCACACAAATTCCCCCCCCCCCAAAGTGATGTATAAACTTTTTCGATCCGATGTTTAACATTACTACTTTAGATATCTAGCCCGTAACGACCGTTAAAAGGATCCGTTAAGGGATAAGTGTCACATTTTGATAATTTTAAATTTTTTTATTTTTTAAACAAAATTAAAAATATTATTATATTTTTAAGAAAACTTTAATTTTTTCTAAAATTACAAGAAAGCTATAAATCTCAAAAATTCAAAATCCCCGACTCTAATCCTAACCTTACCTCTCTTGTCGGTCATCATCGCTGACACCATCCTTGACATCTCCCTTATCAATCATGGTCAGCTTTGTCGTCGATATGGTTGTCGGAGTCGTCTTGTGTCACAAATCGCATGGGTTAAGTGGTTTGAAAAACCCGACGTTTAAATAAGGTGGGTGTCGGGATTCGTCGGGTTTTGGATTCTGCATTATGGGTGGTCGAAATCATCTTGTCGTCGGATGGAGGTCTGCTCGGGTGAGGGTCAACGACGGTGACCGATGTTGTTATCAAAACGTGACATGTATCACTTAACAGTTTTTTAACGGTCGTTATAGTCGACGTTTTGAAAAACCCAATGTTTAAATAAGGTAGGTGTCGAGATTCGTTGGGTTCTGCATTCTGGGTGGTCGAAATCATCTTGTCGTTGGTTGGAGGTTTGATGACGACAGTGATCGACGTTGGTAGAGGATTGAAATAAGGGTTTTCAAATTTTGGGGGTTTTATTTTAAATTTATGAAAATTTTGGGCTTTGTTTTAATAAAAAAATATTTTAAAGTTGTTTTATATTAAATAAAAAATTTTAAATTATCAAAACGTGACATGTGTCACTTCACATGTTTTTTAATGGCTGTTACAATTGGGGTACCTAAAGTGGTAACTTTTGTAACGTTAGACACTTAGATTGATCAAAAAAAAGTTCGGCACCACTTTGGAAAAAATGTATAGTTTGGACACTTATTTTTATATTAAGCCTTTTTAAAAAAAACTATATTTAACATTTAGTTTAGGTTTCAATTTGGTACCCACCCTTAAAAAAATTAAAAGAACTAATGACGTAATATTTTTTATTTTTCAATGTTGACACTTCAGCATAATCGTTAAGTTTTTAACGACTGAGTATCAAAATGAAACTTAAAGTAAACGTTATGTATGATTTTGAAAAATTATAAAGTTTAGGTATTAAAATAGAATAAAAAATTAGTTTAGGTACTAAATATGTAGTTTATCCAAATATTAATAGATAAATCAATATTTGGTCACTAAAATTAATAATTTCTCTCAATCTAGCTTATAAATTTAGACTTTTTAATTATTTTTGAGGATGCCACGCTATGAGATTGTAACAATTAAAATGATATTTTAAAAAACAATTAAAAAATTATATTTTAATCATAGGATTAAAATGATACTTATTTCAATCACTTGACTAATCCAGTTTGGTTGTTTTTGTCATCACATCGTTAACTTATAAAGGAAGAATGGCGTGGTGTTTTAATAATTGACATAATAACATATCAGTACTAAATATTTATATATTTTATTAATTTAATCTATTATTATAAATAAATGATCCTCAATAATCATCTTTCTACTAAAAGCTAAAAGTGAAGTAACTGAAATAACCAAGACATGATGTAATTTTAACATTTAACTAAATAGTTATTTTGGTCTATAATTTTTTAAAGCACTTTAATTCTTAACATTTAATTTTAGGTCAAAGTAATCCTTCCGTAAATAGAAACTGGTAGTCAATTAACAATCAACACTTTAAGATGTCATGTATGATTATCACATCATCTTAAGACTTTGATTATTAGTTAAGTAACATTTTTCATCTATAAATGAGTCATTTTGACCTGAAATGATATGTTGAAGGTTAAAGTGTTCCAATAAAAAGAAGGATAAAGTATACAAATGAGTCATTTTGACTCGATTACTAAAAGTTATAAAATGGTCCTCTGATTATAGGATACTACTTTGTTGAGTCATCTGATTATTAAAAGTTACAAAATATCACTCAATTATTTGTATGTTCCAAACTCTTCATTTTCTATTAAAAAAATGGTGGTCGTATGAGTTGTACGTTAACATGTTAACTGAGATATGATAAAATCCAATCACATAATCGTTTGAGTCGTATTTTATGGATCGACTATCCGTTTACACTATGTCGTCGAGTCAGTGTTTGAAATATTATGTCATCGAGCTAGTGCTTGAAAGCAATGACAATGTCTATAGACATCATTAAAATATGATTTTGTCAAATCTCAATTAACAAGTTAATTTCAAGCTCAGATGGTCATCAAATTTTTAACGGAAAAGGACGAATTTTGAACATATGAATAGTCAGATGATCATTATGTAACTATTAATATTCGGAGGCTCAACAAATCAGCACCCTATAGTCAATGGATAATTTTGTAATTTTTAATAGTCTGGTGACTCAATAAAGTAGCGTCCTATAATTGAGGGACCATTTGTGTACTTTATCCTAAAAAGAATAGGTGTGAGAGTGATTATTCAATCAAACATTAGAAATATTTTTGTGTATTACGCCAATAATCAGACCTAATTAGTCTAGGACTATTATGGGGGGAAAAAGAATTCAAGGGCTAAACCCAAGAGAAATAATCAAATTTAAGTGGTACTATATTTGCACTCATATAAGATAGGATGAAGTGATGCAAAGTAAAATTTTAAATAAACGCCTCAGTTAAAATCACAGTGTTGCAACAGAGATTCTTCAGCAGCCTTAACATGGAACAAATACTTAGTGAGTACACATTACTAGAAGTTTTTATTCATATTTCATTTATTCTTACCTATATCATATGATATAATTATATATATATATATATAATGGACCTACTGAAAGTTAATAACAAGGATCTTCCAAAAGATTTGCAAACTCAGAGAACATCTCCTTTTCTTGATCAAGCATGGCTGCCACAAATGAACTTTCAGTTGATGATGACGCTTGAAAACCATAGCTTAGCAGCTCACTCTCTGTTCCCGGGACGACTTCGTTATCGCTGTTGTTGTTGCTGCTACTGCTGTTGTTTTTAGTATTCATGTGTTGGGCACTAGTGTTGTTGCTTTTGTGATTTTGCAGTGCAATGTCCTCGGATTCGGGTCCTTGAGGGGGTAGAAATGCGTCGTCGAGAAGGAAATCGCGCCAGCTGAAGTCGAGGTCGGTTTTCTCTTGCGCTGCAGTGGAACAAGTGGAAGAAGAAGAAGTGGAAGACGATGACGACGGCGATGATAATGATAACGAGTACTGATTAGGGAACATAGGCAAGACGATCTGATAACCAGCGTAGTTCGAGGCTTCGGTCACGAGTTTTATGGCTTGGAGCTGAGAAAGAAGGTCCAGGGAATCACAATCAGAAGCAGCATGATGGTTAATGTTGTTGTTCGTGAAGAAGTTTACCGGGATCGGTTCGATCCCGAGAGCTGCCATCGTTGTCATCACTTGGTTATTGTTGAAGTTGGTGAATCCTTGTGTTGCTGCTGTTGGTGGTTGTAGTTGATGCGGCTCTGGTTTTATCAGGAAGGTATTCTTCATGTCTTGTTTGAGGGAACCGGATCGGGTTCTCGACTTCGGGAGGCCACCAATGTTCCCATAATCGGCTAAGATTTGAGAAAATGGTTTGTGAGTAACCGGATCGATCCCCATCTCGGAAAGCTTCTTCTTCAGCTTAGTGTTCCAGTAATTTTTGACATCATTGTCTGTTCTTCCGGGAAGCTGTTGGGCTATGATGGACCACCTGGAACCATAACCAAAATAAAAAAACCAGACACACACATAAAAGGCAGTGTCACATAATATGTCTTGCGCTAGTAACAGAAACAGGCTGTTAAAAAACTGTTAGCAAAACAGAATTTTACTCGAACTCTTCATTTTTTACGAAGTACATGTATCCGACACTTACCCGAGCTGCAGCATGTACCACAACATACATGAAATGTTCTGGGAATCGATATTACCTGCTGCCAATCGCGGCGTGAAGCCGAATGATCAACTCTTCCTCCTGAGGAGTGAAGCTTTCGTGTTTAAGATCCGGTCGCAAGTAATTAGTCCATCGGAGACGACAACTTTTCCCACATCTTCTAAGCCCTGGAAACCACATTCAGACATGGCATGATGCCCCATACGAAGGAGAAAAAAAACTACCAAAGTAAATGTAAAATAAAAATTACAGACCAACAGTAAGTTTTAACCTGCTTTTTTTGGAACAGCAGTCCAATTACCAGTTCCATGCTTAGATACATAAGCAAGTATCTTTGCATCTTCTTCTTCACTCCATAAACCTTTCTTCACATTCAGCTTGTCACAACAAGGAGGTCTAACCATCTTTATCTGTTGCATCAAAAACTCGGGAATTCACGACGACGGAAACCGAAAAGAAAACAGAGAGAAGAATCATGAAAATCACTTACAATGTAGCCCTTTTTGTGCTGTGTGATAAGAAAGAAGAATGGTGGAAAGAGAGGCTTTAAGGTATTGAGTGAGAGAAGAGCATGGAATGCATGAGAGATTGGATTCTCATATAATCAAATTTGCATGATGGCATGACATCTTTGCTTTAGAAATGAATTCACATGGACTCATGGGGTCAGGTTTGATGTGGGTGTATTTTCTGGTTAAATTTAGAATATATCTAAGTGGAAATCACATTAAAAATTTCATGTGATATTTGTTTAGCTTTAGATTAAATCCATTCACTGTGTGAGAGTAAGGAAATGAGTTTTGTTCAAGTGTCTTTTATAATCACGGGTTTGATGAGATCTAACTATTTTAAGAAATGATAAAAGAGATTTTTCATTTTGAACAAAGAGACAGAGAACGACAATGTGTGAAGGATACTAATTTTCATTTTGCTTCACATTCATGCCTACATATGTGAATGAGGTATACGACCCTTCAAAAGTTTTCAAATATTTGAACTTTTTTAGGAATTATATAATTTTTTTTTTGGATAAGTTATATATATTAATATTTTTCGATCGTAATAAAATGTTAAGATTGTTATTTTGTATTTTTTTCATAAAAAGTAACATATTTTTTAAATTTTAAATATTAAAAATTTCCAAATTAAATCAAATATGAAATATTAAATTTATTAAAATCTTTTAAATAAAGATCAAACTAATAAAATATATAAATTTTATAATAAACTATATGTTAATATTTAAATTATCACTTTTGTTATGTTTTAGTACCTAAATTAATTCATCTAAAACCTGTCAATTAATTCTTAATTCGATTGATATTATTATTGTTACAACAATAAAAAGACACTAAATTATTAATCGAAGAAAACATTTAAAAATGTCAACACTTTATGAACAAGGAGACATAGAACAATGTGTGAAGGATATGAATTTTTGCTTCAAAAATTTCAAATATATGAACTTTTTAAGGAATATATAATATTTTTCGATCGTAATATAATGTTAACATTGTTATTTTGTATTTTCATAAAAATTAACGTGTTTTGTAAATATAAATATTAAATTTATTAACAACCAGTTGATCTTGTGGGATGAGACACTAAATCTCTTAAATAAGGTCAGAGATTCGAATACTGACATTTGCAAATAGAGTAGTTGGGTTGGAAGGGTTGTCCTCATCTCTGCAGTACCCGATCCAGATTAATCGATCAATAAATCGGATATTGATGGTTACACCAAAAAAATATAAATATTAAATTTATTGAAAAACTTCAAAGTAGGATCGAAAATGAAATATTTAAATTTGTTAAAATATTTCAAATAATATTATTAGCTGACCCTTTTTTCCCATATGTAAGAGGTAAGGGAGAGATATGATAATAGGCTGCCCCCAACGCCAGATTGAGAGCAACTTCCGTGAATACCTCCGAATTATGAAATAAATATATAAATTTTAATAACTAAAACTATTATTAAATCATGCCACCTTACTTTTGTTTCAATTTTAGTGATAGAATTATATGTTTGTAATAATATTCTAGAGTTAACTATACATTTAGTACATAAACTATCACTTTTATTCCGATCTAGTACCTAATTTTTTTTTCAAAACTATATAATGTTTGGTTTAGGTTTCAATTTGATACCCCACCATTAAAAACTTAACGACACTGATGATGTGGAATTTACATTACAAGACACATGGAATAACAAAAAAGAGAAAATAATTCCACGTGATTGCTACCGCTAAGATTTTAACGGTGTGATACCAAATTGAAACATAAATTAAACGTTAGGCGTGATTTAAAAAAATAAAGTTTAGGTAGTAAAATAGAATAAAAATTATATTTTAGGTACTAAACGTGTAATTTACTCAATTTGTTAATAAGGCGTACAAATTGTAACTTTTTTAAAAAAGTGGCTCGTTCGTAATCGAACTAATAATTGAGTAAGAAAGCAAAAGCATTGACCCTTTATTACGTCAAATATGGGTTCACTGCGATGCGATGACAATTATCGATCACAATATAACAAGAAAAATTCCAAATTCCAATATCAAGATCTGTGTTCACCATTTTGCTTTTCCACAACTCTTCACATACAATGATCCTACAGTTACAACACAAAAGAAGCTCAAACTGCCAAGAAAAGAAACTAAAAGGAACACGAGGGGTGTGTCGAATTGAATCGAGCTCCCCATCACGTAAAGCATAACGATGCGGCTACTTAAGATGGTACTCGAACAAGGAAGCCATCTCAATCTGCAATACAATCCAAAATAAATTAAGAATATACGCATTTATAGTAAGACGAATAATGGAAGTAACTCGAATACTATACCTATGTAGGGGTGCTGTTCCATGCATCAAAACGACTGATAACCCACCAAAGGTGATTGAGAATATTGCTAAGAAATGGGAACCTATTCTGGTTGAATGGTGTCAATCCCACCCTTGTGCAGGAAAAGTTTGCAACAAGGACCAACAGGCTCGCTTATAAGCGACGTTGAGATAGGGAATGGTAATCCCTTTCTCAAATTATATACCACCACTCAACTCCTAATAACTAAATTGGAATTCAAAAGAAATTGAATATCAAATGCCAATAATAAAAAATAAAAATTAGAGTAACTGCTTCCTTTAAAGAATACTCCATTACTCTACTATCAACTCACCGCAGTCAAAGCACACTCTGCACCTTTGTTCCCAGATTTACCACCAGCTCGATTCAATGCCTGCAGTTGTCATGTGAAATGAAACAATTACATAAAATTCCACTCTTAGTCATTTTATTTCTTTGATTGCATCCAAGAATGAAAACGTCATCCCCCTCTTGCATTCTAATATATCATCTCAAAACCATTCTAAAGTAAATCACAAATTACATGCACTAGACCGTGTTCTGTCACTTGGTAGTTGATATGCACAACCTATGCAAGCGTAACAAGAATTTCCCCTCTTCTCTCATTCCATTCAATGTGAAGGAAACTAGAGGGGGTGCCCCATTATAGTTGTAAAACAGTCCATCTCACTTAACAAGAAAACCTATAGTTTTTAATGCAAAATGATCTTTTATCCAGCTCCTACCTGGTCCATGTCATCGCAAGTCAAAACACCAAATATGCAAGGAACACCTGCAAAGTTGATAAGTTGCAGCTTCAAATCACAAGAAATAATAAAAAATTGAAAAATAAGGAAAGATACCAATAGCCAAGTAATCTATGGGGGAATCAATTATTAATACATGAGAAATTCCATGTATATCTTTAGGGCATGAGATTGATGCAGATCTTTTTTGACAACTGCCACATAAAATTTTTTCCTCCCAGGTTGAAAGGATGGTAATTTTCAACTTCTCAAAAGAAAAGAATCTTGCAATGTGTTTCCTTGTGCTGTCTAATTGAAACAACTAGGAGAAAATAATGAAATTTGTGATAAACAATTACTATGATAGCATTATGTAGTCGGGTAAGAGTAAAATTTGCAAAGATTTAAGAACATATGGTGAAAAGGAGTTGCTTTGAAAAGAGTTCATACCAAAGATGGTATACTTGTAGTCTAAAAGAATCATAAGCATATCAAACAAAGTTCTTAATAACTTCAGCCAAGTTGAAATATTTAGGGCATAGAAAATGTCTAGAATATGCCTGAATAAACAAGAAAAAGCGAGATATATGCTTTTGATCAATGAAATTGTATTCCCCATGGTACTTTATACGCGAGATGCCAACAATAATACCATGGTAGCATTTTAAGCGAAATGGGTCAGACCTGAGTTTAAGCCAGCTGAAAGCACCCCAGATGTTGCAGAATTAACCACAGCATCATAGTGAGAAGTATCTCCTTTTATCTGTTGGCAGGATTAACAAAATTCAGCAAAATGTACTTAGCATTAGCATAGAAAGGATTTCCCGTTAGCAGCTAAAAAGTTATATGAGAAATTCCCAAGGAACATGTAAGAAATCATACCACAGCCCCAATGCATAAAACTGCATGATACTTCCGAGACTTTCCCAGCTTTTCTGCTGTAACACCAATTTCAAAACTTCCAGGGACCCAGATAACCTGATAAGAAAGTGATGAAATGATCAACCCATCCTAAAATTTGGCTAAACGTTAATAAAAGGATCTGGTCAAAAGATCCTTATGCTGAAAAAGAACTAGTTGTAAGTAAGATGATATACAGAGCAAATCATGAATCATAGAAGACAAAGACTTCGATAGCGATGCCATCAAATAAGATGATATACAGAGCAAATCATGAATCATAGGGAGGTCTGTGAAATGTTGGGGATCACCTTTAAAGGGGGGCAGCAATTATTAGAGGAGGAGATTTTTAGGATGGAATTGAAGGGGTCTTCTCAATGACCCTGATGGTTTCTTTGGTTTGATGTGGAGTTTATGATTGTCAATTTTATGTCTAAGTTAAAATTAATCACATGGAATATTAGAGGTCTTGGGAGAAGAGAAAAAATAAGAGCAGTGGCCAGACTTGTTACTAGAGAGAAGCGTTTATCCTATTCTTACAGGAGTCAAAACTGAATGTCTGTAAAAGCAATTTATGGAGGAGGTTAGGAGGTAATCTATTGAAAGGTCATGTCTTTCTTCCAGCTAAGGGTTCTGCAGGAGGTCTGATAAGTTTGTGGAATGAGAATGTTTTTGTGGTCAATGCCGAACATAAACATAGCAGATTCATAGCATTATCAGGAAAGTTCAAGCTGTATAATTTTGATTGTGTTTTAATAAATGTATATGGTCCAGCAGTAGAAGCGGATAAAGAGGAATTCTTTAGGGAGCTGATGTGTTTTGTGCAGTGTTTAAACCTGCCAGTCTGCATAGGAGGGGATTTTAATGCTTATTTGGATACAGAGGAGAAATGCGGTGTAGGTCAAAACTGGCATTCCATGGATTTGTTTAGATCCTTTGTTCAACATTTTAATCTTATGGATTTACCATTAGTAGGAGGAAGATATACTTGGTGCAACAACAGAGAGTCTCCTACTTGGGAAAGGCTTGATCGGTTTATTATCAGTGGTTCTTTCCTAAATCAATTTCCTAATATGATCCAAAAAATGTTCCCAAAATCCCTTTCGGATCATAATCCTGTGGTGTTAGTAGAAGAATGCAACAATTGGGGACCAAAACCTTTTCGATTATACAACTATTTGTTAGAGGAAGACGGGTTTGTTGAGTTGATTGAAAATTCATTGTCTACGGCGAAGGCGAATGGTCGATGGGGTCTATTTTCTTTACTTCGAGGAACAAAGCAGAAGATCAGGGATAGGCTTTTTTCGACTCAAAAGCGGATTTCTGAAAAAATTTCTCAACTAGAAAACTTGATTAATGATCTGGAATTCAAATTGCAAGGAGGGATTTCCATTCAAGAAAGGGATTTGTTGATTCTATCCAGGAATGAATTATGGAAGTTGCATAGGAGGGAAGAGAGTATTTGGTTACAAAGATCAAGATTGAAGTGGATCAAGGATGGGGATAGGAATACAAAGTTTTACCATTTAACAGCATTAAATAGAAATAGAATGAATTCAATTTTGGCCCTGAGAGTGGCTGATGAAGAAATTTCTGATCCGGAGAAGCTGAAAAAATTTGTCTTTGAGTATTTTAAGGAGAACTACAGCTCTAAAAATACGCTGGAGGTAGAGGACATTAATCTCAATTTCATGACATTATCAGAGGAGCAGAAAAATGGACTTGAGGTACGGTTTTCAGAACATGAAGTTAGGGAAGCAGTGTTTCACTCGGACAGTTCCAAAGCCCCGGGTCCAGACGGCTTCACGATGGGTTTCTTTAAAAAATTCTGGCCTGTTTTGAAGGATCATTTAATGAAGTTTGTGGATGACTTTCACAGAGGAATGAGTTGGGAACATGGGGTCGACCATGCTTTCATTACTTTGATTCCTAAAAACTCAACCCTGAAATTATTGAAGATTACAGACCAATTAGTCTTGTTGGAAGTTTGTACAAAATTATCTCTAGAATCTTATCGAGGAGATTGGTTTCTTTTATTAAAGTTTTGATCAGCCCATTGCAGTTCGCCTTTATTTCGGGTAGGCAGCTCATTGATTGCGCTTTTATGGCAAATGAATCTATAGATTACTGGAGGAAAAAAGGTAGGAAAGGAGTTGTTTTTAAAGTAGATTTTCGCAGAGCCTTTGACTCAGTGGAATGGCCAATTATTTTGAGGTTATTGAAGATAATGGGTTTTGGAGACAAATGGATTTCTTGGATGGATTATTGTATTTCTTCTGCTTCAATTTCAGTCCTAATTAATGGTTCCCCAACTCAAGAATTTCAGATGGGCAAAGGGCTGAGACAAGGTTGTAGTCTATCTCCTCTTCTGTTTAATATTGTTGGTGAGCTATTGAATTTAATGTTGAGTAAGGCTGCTACCCTTGGTCTTTTTGAAGGATTCAATATTGGTATTGAAGAGAATCTTTTTAAGTTGACTCATCTGCAGTTTGCAGACGACTTAATCTTATTTTGCAGAGATTCCTCAACACAAATTCTGAATTTAAAGAGAGTATTGAGGGTATTCAGTTTAATTTCAGGGCTTCATCTTAATCTATCCAAGAGTAAATAGTTTGGTGTTAATGTGGCAGAGGACAGATTAAAAGATTTAGCACTGGAAGCAGGTTGTGGGGTGGGATCTTTTCCTATGACTTATCTAGGTCTTCCGATAGGAACAAAGAAAAATTCAGAGTTATTGTGGGAACCAGTTTTAGAGAAAGTTTTCATCAGATTAGCAGGTTGGAAAGCTGCTTCTTTATCGTTGGCTGGAAGATTGGTGTTGATAAAATCGGTATTATCCTCCTTACCTATTTTTTACCTCTCTATTTTCAAAATTCCGTTTAAGGTCAATCAGAAAATTAACTCAGTATTGGCAAGATTTCTTTGGGGTGAAGAATCTGACAAGAAGAGGGTTCATTGGGTGAATTGGAGTACGGTTTGTCAACCATTGGAAGAAGGAGGCTTAGGAGTATTGGACTTGAGTATGATTAATAGAGTTTTGCTAGGGAAATGGGTTTGGAAGTATGCAAATGACAAAGACTCTCAATGGAAAAAACTGATTTGTTGTATTCATAATGTCAGTATGGAGTCTCTGTCTATAGGCAAGGTTGTTTCTCTTCAAGATTCATGGGTTTGGAGAGGTATTCGGAGTAACTATGAGAAAAAGGACGAGATTGGGGATTGTTTGAGATCCAATTCGAAGATCCAAGTGGGGAATGGTAGGTCAATTGATTTTTGGAATGATATTTGGGTTAATGGATCTACTCTTAAGATTCAATTTCCTAGAATCTATGCTCTGTCAACTAACAAAAGGGGAAAATTGGTTGAATTTGGTGGATTTGTATCTAATGGTTGGGTTTAGAACATTCAGCTAAGGAGAAATCTTTGTGATTGAGAATTGGATCAGTGGCTTTCCTTAATGCTTTTGATTGACAACATAACACCGAATGAATCAGTGGATGATTTTTTTGGGGTGGTCGGGGAAAGGGGATGGTTTGTTCTCGGTAAAATCTTGTAGAATGACTATCTCAAGCAGAACTGGAGGACATTTTCAATGGAAGAAATGGGTGTGGTCCGGATTAACTCCTCCTCGAGTGGAAACATTTCTATGGCAGTTTACTCATCAGAAATTGGCGGTTAGAGTGGAATTGAAGAAAAGAGGGGTCAATCTTGAAGATGTTCTGTGCCCTTTTTGCCACAAATACGAGGAATCAATTCGTCATCTGTTTTTTTCATGCTCGGTTGCAGAGAAGTTGTGGTATAGATTTTTAAGGTTTTGGGATATCTCTTCGGTCATGCCCCAAGATCCTCCTTCCTTTCTTTGCTCTTGGTCTTATCTAAGGGACTGTTCTAATATTTGGAAGTTCATTCCAGGTGTTGTTCTATGGTCTATTTGGAAAGCTAGGAATGCAGTGGTTTTTGAAAACTGGACATTAGATAATTCATCCCTATTCTTCATTTCAGGTTTAGGTTGGCTAAATGGTTTTTAGGGAAATTTCCTCATGTTAATATTCAAGTTGACCTACTAGTAGGGGATCCATCGCTTGGAGACAATTTGCCTATAAAATCATACAATAAGGAGAAGGTTCTTAACTGGTCTCCGCCTCCTTCGAATTTCTTTAAATTCAATGTTGATGGAGCGGTAAGAGGTGATGGGCTGCAGGGAGGTATTGGAGGAGTCTTGAAAGATTCGGAATGTTCTACTTTATATACCTTTTCTTTTTCGGTGGGACCTGGTCCTCCCATGTTAGTTGAGCTGAAAGCTATTAAACAAGGGATTGATCTATTCATTTCTTCCGAATGGGCTTTGAAGGGAAGACTAATCCTTGAGACAGATTGTAAAACAGCAGTTGACTGGATTTTGATGCCATTTTTTGCCCCTACTTTTTTCAATACTTTAGTTGGGGAAATTGAGGCCTTAGTTTCTGCTAGGGGTATTATTGTTAGATGGATTCCTAGGTCATGCAATTGGGAGGCTGATAAGCTAGCAAAAGAGGGTATTGGTTGATGTTTGAGCTTTATGGTTGTTTTGGTTTGTATTATATTTCGGACAGTTTATTTAGTAAGCTGCAATCTTATGTAAACATGGTTTTTAATATAATGAGGTACTCTTTTCCTCCTTCCACTAGTTGCCTCTTTCACAAGAGCCAACTATGAGGGAGGTTTTTAATGAGACCTCCTATTCCTATCAAAAAAAAAAAGAGAGAGGCAGAGATACCCTACTCCTATTTCCTAGGCTTTTGAACTGCATTAGTCAAATTAATTGCTAGCATTTGCAGCGGGAGTAACAAAGAAAGCACAGGTGTCTAGATAAATTACAAGGAAAAAGCAGACATGTAACCCGAGATAGAGATATGTTATAATATAACATTAAAGAAGGATTTCATTTTAGCATAATAAGTAGGAGGGTGGCTAGTGGTTGTTACACACATCAATGTCTTCTTCATTAACTGAATACTTGCGGAAAGTCTCCAGAGCTCCCTCCAATAGCAGCTTTGTCACAATCTCATTGAAACGGGCGACAACCTTTGAAAATGTAATAAAAAAATCACCATGGTAATAATAGTATGAAATCATTCAAACACATAAAAAAAGCAATAGAAGGCGGATTAGATCTTTGACTTTGTACTTGCAAATAGCAATTAAAGATAAAACTGACCACAGCAAAGCGAAGGCCTTGAGCTTTGGTAACGGACCCCTCCAAATGGCGTACTGCCGCTGTTTGTACAGAGGAGGAGCTCTGCTTCCCATTCACCACAAATCCTGATTTCATCAATAGATATCTCACTAGTTATATCCAAAAATCCAAAGAAAATGCTATTTTCACTTTAATAAAACGAGTTTAAAAGAAGACGATTACTAAATTTGGAACCAATTATGTACTCCTATGCCCTATCTAGCTGAACTAACTTCAATCACTAAGAAAGTATAAATCAGAATCCTACATTTCTCATTGCATTTTGTTTCTTAGCACTGAAGAGTGAAGCTTTCCCCTAATTCCGAAAACAATTTCTATAAATTCCTAACCTCGTGAATCAAGGATGACAAGATCCAGAGTTCTAAAAAAGTATAAAATTCTAAAAACAACTTTAAACAAAACTGAGATTCAGATTTTAATTGAAGTATCAAAAACAGGGAATGAAACTCAAGAAAGAGAGAAATTGCCTTGGAATTGGAAGGAGGACGAAAAGGATAGAGCGGTTGACTTGCGGGGGGAAATGAAGGCGGCAGAGGGCGGATTCCTGGGAGTGGGGAATGCACCGCATACTGTTCCACTCAAGAGACGCTCTTGAATCTTTACGCATCCAAATCCGCTTAAAGCCATTTTCTTTTGCTTTGATTTCTGTGATTTTATGCAATGTTCGATTTGGTTTTTTTTTAGCATTGCTGCCCTGCGTCTCCTCTGCTTTTAGACTTTTGCTTAGTACTGGGCGGGTCAAATCATGAGATCATACAAAACTCGATGATCTAGATGATGAACATTAGATCTTTTAAACAAATATCAGAGTTTGTAAGTTTTGAAAAAAATGAAAGTCTATATACCAAAACACGTTTAATACTTCAATCATACAAGTTTTGAAAAAAAAAGAAAATTTAGGAACCGATAGTTAATGTACTAAATTCGTTAAGTTTTTAATGATGGGTATTAAAATGAAATAAAAAGTAAATTTTAGGTATGATTTTGAAAAAATTGAAAATTTAGATACTAAAATTGATCAAAATTAATAGTTTATATATTAAATGTGTAATTTATCATTATTTTATCTCCTAGACAAGGAGTGTAAATGAATCAAGTTTAAAAAATAAAATTATATTCGAGTTGTTTGTTTATTTTTAAAAGGGTTAATTTTAATTTGCATTTGTTTAAATTTTTAATATTACATTATTGTTCGTTTATATATTTTAAAAGTGCTTATGTTTGACTCTTTTAACATTCATGAATATATATTTGAGACAATAAACGAACTTTTAAATGAAATTATTTATGAATATAAAAGAGTCGAATACATTTATTAAATAAACATAAAAATTATGTTTATAGTCATTTATTTAATTTAATAAACGAACATAAATATACATTATACGAATTGTTTACAAACACTATATCGAACACTCTTGTTTATTTACACACCTTCCTACACTATAACGAGTGGGTCAAATTACTTCCATCCAGCTCAATTGGTAGAGCGCAAGGTTCTTAATCTTGAGGTCGTGGGATAGAGTCTCACGGAAGGCATTTCATAATTTGGAGGTCTCTCACGGAAGTTGCTCTCAACCTGGCGCTGGGGGCAGCCTACTATCGTACCTCCCCCTTATCCTATTACATATGAGAATAAGGTCAGCTAATTTTTTTTTAGTTTTGAAATGGGTTATGCGAATGATATAATTGGATTAAAATAGAGTTGAATTTATGATAAAAATATTTTATTCATTATTTCTTTTTTCAAAAGATATATCTAATAAGATGTGTAGTGGTGTCGCTTTTAAACTTTATAAAATTTGTCTGAAGTCTGATTAGATTTGTGTATTGTTGTGAGTAACTTACGAGGTTTTCCTAGTTATATTTAGATACAAAATTTATAAGTCTCGACTAATTCAGTCAGAGTATTTTATATAAGTGTTGATGACATGACTATATATTACATGCATATATTATGTATAATATATGTTTTCAATAATATTTTATTTTTTTAACATTCTATAGCTTATGCTTTATATTTCATTTTTTTAATTTTTAAGAGTATTTTTAATATATATTTAATTTTTTAGTAATTTACTTTTTATTTTTAGTATTTTTTATATTTAATGTTTTATTTTTATATTTAAAATTTAAAATAATTATTATCTTTTTAAAAATTTAAATAAACCCTTGAACTTAAAAAAAAAATTGGCCTTCGAATAAGATCAAAAACCAATTTAGCCCATATGTCATGTCAATTATCATCCTCCACATCATTAGCTACCGTAAACCATCACTTAGAATTGTGAACCGTCATGTTAACATCGTGAATTGTCACGTCAATACCGTAATGGTTAACAATGGAAAATGTTGGTTAAAGGGTTCTATCGAGTTTATTTTCTGAGTTTAAGGATCACATTGAGTACAAAAATAATTTGAGAGTCACATTAATTTTTGGCTTAATATAAAGATTAGTGCCCAAACTATACCACTTTTCCCAAAGTGGTGTCCAAACTTTTTTTTCGATTAATCTAGTTCCTAACGTTACAAACGTTACCATTTTAGGTGCCCAGATTGTAACGGTCGTTAAATTCTACCGTTAAAGGACACATGTTGCCTTTATAAAATTTTGAAAATCTTATTTAATTAAAAATACTTAAAATTAAAATTTTTAAAAGAAAATCCCAAAATTTTATAAAACTAAAAAAAACCCAAAACTTTTAAAACCCTAATTTCAATCTTTTGCCACAGTCGACCGGCATCACCACAATCAATCGGCCGACCTCCCGACGACGTGTGACTGGCCAAACACCTGCGACCAAAACCCCTTGTTTCCGCAACCGGTTGAGCACATAATTGCTCATGATTTAGATTCGTTGTTGTAGGTGTTCGTCGCGATTAAGGGTTCTTTGGCTGTTGTTATGATGATTTTTCATCAGGTTACAAGTCGTCGATCGAGGTGCAGCTGGTTGGAGGTTCGATCGACAGAAACGATGGTGGGAGGAGGTGGTAGAATGGGTATAGAGATTAGATTTAGGGTTTTCAAAGTTTGGGGGAATTTTTTAAGATTTTAAAAAAATTTGGGCTTTTTTTAAAATATATTTTAATTTTTTAGAATAAACTTTTCAAAATTACAAGAACGTGACACACGTCGCTTAACAAGATTTTTAACGGCCGTTATGTTTGGGACACCTAAAGTTATAACGTTTGTAACGTTAGGGTCTCGATTAACCAAAAAAAAGTTTAGGCACCAATTTAAGAAAAACAATATAGTTTGAACACTTATGTGTATATTAAACCTTAATTTTTTTTAAAAAAAATAAAAGGATCTCGTGGCTTTTTTACCGAAATATCATCATGACTGTAATAATTATATGTCATACACTCTTTCTCCAAAATTTACCGATCTAGCACCCTTTCTGACAAGGCAGATTGTCATTCACGTCTTTTCGGGGTTTCATCTGAGCTGGCACCACGTCATGAAAGGCGCGGATGATCATTCGAGCCTTATTGGCGCCACATAAGGGACAAGCTAGATCTCTATGCGGTTCTTTCTAGGATTTTTGACACGCGTCTTCCATTAAATTTCCATTTGTTCGCACCTCGCACATTAAATACCCCATCCGGCCAAACCCTCCCTCACCCTATAAATATCCCCTTTTTTCATTCAAATACACCAGATTCTCAAATTCTCTCAAACCATATCAAAATTCAAACCCTCTCAAATCAAACCAGGTCAAATTCTATTAAGAAGGTAAAATATTTTATTTTATTAAAATAAATTAATAATTTATTATTTTATTAAATTGTATTATATTAATTTTTTATTATATTTTACAGTTATAAAATGAAAGGCGGTCTGTTACGTTTAGATGAACATCATATCTCGAGGCATTTTACTGATACGTTAATAATTTTAAATTTTATTTTAATTTTAATTATTGTTAATATTTTATTTATTTGATTTGTTTAGTATTAGTTTATAATTTAATTTCTATAATATTTATTAAATTAGAAGAGATATTGTATTTTTGATCCCTTCATTCATAATCTTAAGTTAGAGATATCAACCCATGTATGGTCGTATTTAGTCGAGGCTGGATTCGGTTACGTAGCAAAATATGAAGGGCACTGTAACCTTGAATCTAACTTGATTTCTACATTGATTGAGCGGTGGAGACCAGAGACACGCACATTTCATATTTCGTGCAGAGAGTGCACAATTACGTTAGAGGATATTTCTATGCATCTGGGGCTTCCGGTAGATGGAGATATGCTTTATGGGGTGGCGCACGGTGACTGGCTTTCATTGTCCCATGAGTATCTTGGAGGTGTCCCACTAATTTTAACGGTGTCGAATTCTGTTAAATTGGTTGGAAGCAACTTTCAATCATTTGAGCGCCGACGCCTTGGAGGAGCAGGTTAAGAAGTATGCATGGGCTTGCATACTACAGCTGATAGGAGGGCTCCTTATGCCGGACAAATCGTCCAACCAAGTTCATTGTATATGGTTGTGTCACCTCACCGATTTTCATCAGGCTGGCACACTGAGTTGGGGCTCGGCAGTTTTGGCATTTCTCTATAGGGAAATGTGTCGAGCTACTGACTATAGAAAAATGCTATCGGTGGATATTTGCTTCTGCTCCAGTCTTGGGCGTGGTATCGCATGCCCTTTTTATGTCCGGTGGTGAAAAACCCGTTGGTTTTCTAACTATTATTAAGGTAATTACAATATTGATTTCCTATATTAATAATTATATTTAGTATATAATAAAAATTATTTAATTGAATAGGTGGTCAACTACAAGAAAAGATCATCGAGAATTAGGCTACTCATTGATCAGAATGCTGACACGGAGGTATATATTTAATAACAAAATGTATTTTTAATTATCGTTATATAATTAGATTATTATTTTGATAAGAATTCTATATATTTGTTTTAGTTTGAATGGACTCCTTATTGTACTGAAGAGATGAAGATTTACATCTCACACCACTTAAGAGGCCATTAGATGTCTGGATGGTGGTGGTCCCTCTGATATGTTATGCGATTGTAGAGTAGCATCCAACTGATCGCGTGCTCCAATAATTTGGTTTTGTACAATCAATTTCGGAAGCACCTAAAAATTTCGATGATTTGCATAACATCGATCGACACAGCAAAAAAGAAATCGATTGTCTGCTAAAGCACTATAAGTGGTAATGATATAGGAGGATCGACGTGGGTGTATTCCCCGTTATAAACCCATTTATTTGAACCATTTGACGGTTGTAGATGGTTATTACGAGTGGTTCAACAGGAACGGGAAATCGTTCCTACTTTCTGAGAAAACACGAAGTATGAGCATTAATGGATGTCGACAAAGACATCCGCCGTCACAACATCATCGTCCCCCGACTCATGGACAAAGAGCAGGCGCTTCCGACTCGTTCTTAGTTGTAGCACCAGAACCTGCACAGCAGCCACTGTCTACACCGATGTACATTATACAACTATTTCAGATGGCACCACAACCACATTAGATGTCGCCGCCATCGCTTACATAACAGATGCCACCACCGTTGTAGAGTTATATGACTCATCCTAACGGATATTACAGTCTCATGTTTACAGATCCAACTTAAGGTTATATACTGGATATTTGGCGGGTGAAGTTTCACCAACGATGACCACCACATAGACACCTCCTGTACAGTTTT